CTTATCTAGCTCTTGTTGTTTGTTAATGTCTAGTGGATAACACTTGCAATCCAGGTTGGCATTAGCATTAGGGGTTAATTCAATGGCATGGTTCCAGGGTTTTGCATCAGATAACTCATTGAAACTTTCTTTTTTAAATAAGTCTCGATAGTCATGTGTCCATTCAGGTACCATTTCTTCAAATGTCCTTTCCCCTTTTTCAGCATTGGCTTTTGCTGCTAGGTCATTAGCATAGTGTACTGCCTGAATGTTAATGGCTCTTTGTAGGTCAACAGTGAGAATGGTTTCACCGTCTTCCATTTCTTCATCTCATCGGTCTTCAGGATCTTTATCTGGTAGTTCGAATGGGATCTTCTGGCATTGACATCGAGTGAAGATGATGTGTCCAGTCTTCTAGTTAATTAGTGGATTATGTCTAATCAGCCAATTGTGACTGAGGAATATTTTCTTGGTTTCTAGATCAGTAACTGCCAAGTCGATTCATTCTGAGTGGTCACCAATAGTGAGCCTAAGCTCGACATATTTGGTGATCGAACTGGCTTGGTTCTTGGTTCTGTCTGCATTGTAGATGGCAATAGGTGCTGCTGTTGCTCAAGTGGGCAATTTGTGCTTGTCGACGAAGGCTCAATTAATGCTGCTTCCCATGCAGCCACTGTCAATCAAGGCAGCAACTGCATAGGTTGATCGAGATGTTAATGTCTCAATCTGAGCCTTGGTTAATAAGTCGGGCCCTGGGGATTTGATGTGTTAAATGAATTTTCATGGCCCATGTAATTCATCCAGCCACTTCAGGGCTCAACACCATTCTGCAGCTTTCATTCCAGTGATCATCTCATTGATCACTTTTTCAGCTCGGATCTTGTGTACCCAGTTTTTGAGTATGGTCTTTGCCACTGTTTCATCCTTGGCATTCTTGATGGCTCACCAAGTCCATTCAGTATCAAATGGCTTAAGCCACGTTGTGGGGCTCTCTGCCCCTCTTTGGCCCTTTATCGGTGCTTGAGTTGTTGAAGTTGGTTCCTTAGGTGATTCTGATTGGTGGATAATAGAGTCGGGTATATTTGAATGCACACATAATTTAGACATAGGGGGTGATACTACAGAAGGTAAAATGTCAGTCTGTCCAGCAGTTTGTGACCTGTTATCCATTTCCTTAGCTGAGCGAGTGGAATCGCTCACTGCTCAGCCTTGCCTTTTACCTCCTCAGGTTTATCATCATTCCTGAGGTCTTCGTCTTTCTTCATTAGCTCAGCAATTTGTGCCCAGATGTCCTCTCGCATGCATTTGTTCTTCTTCTCCAGGCAGTTTCATGCCATGTGACCTGGTTGGCCACAATTAAAGCACTTTCCCTCCTTCTTGAGGTGATCCACATCGATCTGCTTACCTGTTCTGGTACTTGGGCCCTTACCAGTTTGCTTCCCATTATTCTGAGAAGTTGGGGCTGAGCTGCCAGACCTGGTAGACATGGTCATGTGGGAGGTTGAGGGCTTCGAGCCCTGTCTCTGGTACCTGTGCTGGTCTCACAGGTTTACTGCTTCTGCCTTCTGTCACTGTCACTCCTGCTATATTGGGACAATTCATGCCTTTCAATCATCGTATCCAACCAGAACATTATGGCCGAGATCTGAAATAGTCTTAAGGTAATGAGGTGGCAGTCCCTGCTTCATGTACTCGACCATTCATCCTGAGTTGGTTATATTCTCCCAGACTCTGGCAAGTTTTCCAAGTCGTTCCAACTCATCAAAGTAGTCTGGCACCATCTTGTCACCCATCTTGTATTCTTTCATCTTCGACCTGTGGACTTCTCATACAGCAGGGTCCATGAACTTGTTATGGATCATCTGCTTTAGTACTGGCTATGATGGATATTGGTGATGCTGTTGGCTGGTTGACTAGAAGTTGGGGACCAGCAGTACCCACCATCCTTTGGCCTTGTCTTCAAAGTAGATGGTGGCATAGTTTACCTTGTACATGTCATGAAGAAAGTACAAGGCAAAGACCTGGAAATATTGGTTGCAGTCCATAAGGAAACAATCAATATCATCTGAAGCCCCTTTAAAAGGAAGGGGCTCTTGTTCTAGCATTGGTCTGACATTCAATATCTGCATCTTCGGATCGAGAGGTGATATCAGATTTAGGGGTTCCCCTCCAGGGAGACCAGCTCAATCTGTTGGAGGCCCTGAAAAGGAATGTAAGGACCCATCATCAGCAATGGGACTTTTTGACATCGGTGGCTCTTCCTTTTGGACAATCTGCCCATCTTTGATGGTCCACCCCTGTGCCATTGCTTTGGGGTCGTCCTTCTTCACATCGGTCAGAACTGATCCACTTCCCTCAGCTTCATTGGGTGGTGGTTGTCCTCCCAATAGTCAGCTCTCTATGCTGGTCCAGGGATTTGAGTGGTAGGTTCTCGGCTGTCTATAGGATCGGGTTAGCTGAGATGCCATGCTGTGGACAGCTGATGTGGCAAGCGAATATCTTGATGTCGCTGTTTGAATTGAGAATGCTGTGTTTGCTGACTTGAGTGGCATCACACTTGGTGTCCATGACATCGGTGCCTTTTATTTGCTGAACCTTGGTCAATATGGTGGCATCACCATCATCTGATAGTATAAGAAGTGCTGATTGAAATTAAAAATGGTGTGCTCAGTTGCGGCATACTGTAAAATCTCCTCTCACTCGATGTGGTCAGCAGCAGTATACCTTTGCCCTAAGGATGATCATAGTCAGCAATCATCCCTCCACAATTCAGCTACCTGCTCTTGGTATAACCAAATAAATTCTTCTTTCCGTGCCTCATGTTCTCATCGTTTCTTCTCCTGTTCTTGGTGCATGGTTATACTGACGATGCTTCCCCATTCAAGGATGGGGTCTACCGTCTAGCTGCCTTGGTCCTCCTCCTCAGCCTTGTCATCCCCTTTAGCCCCCTTGTCAGTGGTCTCCTCAGGGAGGGAACTGCCTTGCTGGCTGAAGGTTTCCAGGGTGAATAGGTCAGAGCTGAATACTTGACTCAGTGTCATTGGGTCTGGGTCAAGGAGCAGGCTTCTAGTCAGGCTGCTCTTCTTCTCCTTCTGCTGGTGGTGCCACTGCTCTGCAATACCGGTGGAAGTTTCTATAGAACTGGGGGCAAAGGAAGAGAGTGGCAATTGGCCCATCGAGGACCCTTTTGAGGTCTCCAGTGGAGTCAATATGCTTGTGGTCTGATGGTATCCTATCTCTCTAGATGGGGATATCATCAGTTTTGGTGATGGTGTCTGTCCCATATGATAACAGGCAGTCGTTATCAAGAAGTGTTGGCTCTCTGCCATAATAGTCATCGGCATGAATGACTCCAGCAGCTGGCCCTGTCCAGAGGTTGGAGTCACTGATGGGAGTGGCTGGTTCCCAGAACAGAGAGTTGAGAGCATTGAGGAACTCAGTGAGAGACTGGAGGGTTGGCCATATTGGGTTTGGTACCACTGGACCATGCCTTAGTAGGCATGAGGCTCCTCCCTGTTCCAGTCTGCTGGCTGCTCTTAACACTGCTTGCCAGTATCGGACCTCATCCCTGTTGGTGTCATCAAAGAAGGGGTCAGGACTACTGACTCTTGTTCCCCTTCCACCACTCCTTGTTGATGAGGCATGTCAGAGTTGATGCCTGTCAGTACTTCTGGTGCTTGAAGCCATCTGAATGGCATCCAAGGAGTCTCTAGCCCAGCACCCAATTCCAGACTGGATGACAGTTGTCCTTGACACAGTGATACTGTGCTTGGAGGAGAGAATGAGGGTGTCAGGTTGGGGTCATCAAAACTCTGTAGCCTAAGGGTTTCCAGGGTCTTGGACAATTGCCAACAGGGGTCTTGGAGGATACTCATGTTGCTGCTGCTGCTCCTCTTCTTCTCTAAGACACTCTTCAGTTGAGCACCTAGGCTCATCTGTTTCTTTGGAGTGTCAGAAGGAGTTTTGGACAGAGGCAGGGATGTCATGGAGAGGGAGGTCTGGTGTGACATTTCAGAGGATTGTATGAATATGCTGAAATTCTTGGTAGTGTTGAATGGTCCAGGCAGTAATAGATTGGCATCCACAGCACAGCTGTATGATCACCAATAAACCGATCAAGGTTCCAATGATAGAAGCCAAGAGTTTGAAGAACTCATGAGTAAAGTTTGGATTGGATGGATTTAGAGCAGAGGGCATTCAGTTTCTCAGCATAATTGGGCCTGAGAAAGGGAAGCAAGAAGCTTCGAGCTAATTGTTAAGCTCAAACTCCACATGACTATTAACACATGATAAACAGTTTAGAACCTCACACTTTGGGTTAGACTGACTGAGTTCACTGATGTGTTAACAGAGGTGTGTGGTCAAGGTGTTTGCAAGTCACTCGAGATAGGATGGTAGAGAATAAACTTTAGCTTGAAGCTGGGGTATTACAGTGAGAGCTACGCTACTTAAATACTGTTCTGTTATCATGCTATAAATAAATGTTTCACAAAAGATATTGTCTGCTGTAGAGCTGTTACCCCTGCTATTGCCAGGCTCTTCACAAAAGCTGTTGTCTTGCTGTTGTGCTTGTTATCTTGGCAGTGCAGAATGGGACAAAAGGAGCATCATCTCTCTCTTCACAGCACATAGCATCGCGATAGGAGAGTGACTGACTGGATTGCTGAGCTAAGTGTTCCCATGGTCCTAAGCACTGGTCTAAGTGCCCTGACTAAGCAAAGATAAGAGTCATTTCCAAGGAGAAAGAAAAGAAAATAGGAAAAATCATAACAAGAGCCGAGTTGCTGTTGAGTGAGCAGAAGAGGCAGAGTATGAAAATACACTCTGAATGAATGGGGCCATGTATGTGGCTCACTTCAGCATTACAGATGGTGTTTGTAGCATGGGGCAGACTTTTACCAGCATTGGATATGCTGGTGGTCTTTGGACCTGATTCTTGGAGTATCTCTGGTTATATTGAGTCACAGCATAGTCTGTTGCCACATGCCTCAGGATTTCTGTTCTTTCATCAGTGATGGAATTCAAATATAATTGTCCTAGTTGCAATGCTAGCCAAGTAGCATCATGCCATAAGAAATTTACCCTCCTCAGGTAAAACTCCTGGTATTCCTGCATCTGTGCCCTCTTTATTTCCTGCTCCAATTCTTCTTCATCTGTTGTTTCTAGTAGTCCATACTTGAGGACCCCACTAGGATGAGGTGAATCACTACTCTCAGTTTTCTCTTCCTCTGTTTCCCCTTTATCTCCTTCCTCCTTGAGGAGAAAAATGGTGGATGGGCCATAGAAACTCCCTGCCCCTTCCAGTTGTATCATCGTTCTAGACCTCTGGCTAGGTGCCCAGCCCAGCAGTTGCAGGATCTGGTGTATAGTTGTAGGCAGCAGCAGGCTGGCTGCTGATATCAGAGTCATACCTGTTTCTGCCAGTCACTCTTGCCACCTCCACTCACTCATGATAGAGGTGGATGTTTTGTTGGTAGTCATTATCGATAAGCTGACCAATGACCCTACTTTTGAGAAATCCTTGGAGGGTGCAGGCCAGGATATAGGTATTGCTAGAGATCCAAAGTCCATAGTATCTGAGGGCAGACTCATCACTTCTGAATGCTGAGTCAGTGCTGGGTGTTTGTCAGGAAGGGGGATATTGTGGTATTGAGAAGCATTGGCCTCTTCTGGTTCAAGTGTCATCTGCCCAATACTCAGGGATCCCACTTCTTGTGGTACTAGGCTCTCTAAAGATTGGGGAGGAAAGGAAGGAGTCTGCTCATACTGAGGCAAGGATGCTGGTGACCTCTGGCCAGAGCCCATACCAGTTAGAGATGTTGACTCTGTCCAGCTGGTCTCTCTCCATCCTTCGCTGGGCATCTCAGTTTTGCTCATTATACTTAGTGGCAGCCCTTCTCTGTGACTTCTCCTCTGTGTGGCAGTCCTCATACTCACCACATACTGGCTGCAGATCATCTCGCTGCCTACACTCTTCTTGTTGTACAGCATTGTTGTAGTTGAAGGGGATGGTAAAGTCTCAAGTTGGGAAGTATCAATGTACAGTCTCTTTCCATCATTCTTGTCATTGCTGTTCATCATCTGGCTGGTCTGGGAGATCCTGCTCCACCCTGGTGCTGGTTCTGGTGGGGGAGAGAGCACCATGAGACTGGCTGCAAAGAGTTAAGGGTTGGGATTGTCGAGCCATTCGAGAGGCATTAAGAGAGTCCTGGGCATGATCAGCAATCCCATGGGTACAGGAGGCAGAAGAGAGGTCAAAGGAGAGGGACTGCTCAAAGAAGTCCTCTAGGAGATTCTGGTCCTTGCCATGAAGGATCATATTTGGTACAAAGATCCTATATCCTTCTGAGATGTGAGAGTGCTGATTTCTGGGTCAGAGGGAATGTTGTCCTCCTGCTTCTTTTTGACCATCCCCCTGATGTGAGCTGCTAGGCCTGGCTTCTGGGGGCTGATAGGTTATTCTTCAGGATTCAGGGATATCATGGAGAGAGAGATCGGGGGTCATATTTTGTAGTATATACTGAATGTGTTGAAATTTCTGATAGTGTCTGAGAGCCCAGGCAGTAATAGAATGGCATCCTCAGCACAGCTGAATGATCACCAGTAGTCCAATCAATGTTCCGATGATAGAGGCAAGGAGTTTAAAGAACTTGTGGTCAAAGTTGGGGTTGTTGTTGTTAGAAGAGGGCATTTGGTTTCTCAGCACAATTGGGCTTGAGAAAGGAAAAGAGAAAGCTTCAAGCTAATTGTTATGTCCAAGCGTCATGTAGACTAATACACATGATAAACAGGTGTCCCTTTGCACTTCGAGAGATCAGCTGAGTTCACTAGCATATATTCATACTGGTGTGTCACAAGGTCAAAGGTAGACTTGAGGTAGAATGGTAGTTATAAACTTTAGCTCAAAGCTGGGGTTTCCAGCAAGAGCAAGCCTTCTTAAATACTGTACATGCTTTGCTATTAATATCTGTCACTTATTATGCATTTCTCTGCTCCAACTGCTTGTTGTCCTTGAGCGTCATTACTGTACATAAAAGGCCGATTGTGTATTTGTTATTGAATATTGGTAGCATCAGAAAACTATGATAAAGTCAACTTGTTGTGATGACTAAGCTGTTCCCACAATCTTCCACACTTATTCTTGATGCTCTGACTAAGCATAAATAGGAGTCAAAATGAGAAAATAAGAAAAAATCATAACACTGTCCTGGCAAATAAATGGATAGGTGCAGCCAGAACTTGCTGAGGAGTCTGCCAAAAAGGGTTTTGGCTTCTCCAATTGCTTAAGCTGCTTCCTACTGATAGTGATTGTTCAGGTGCATGATAAGGAGAAGAAAATGAAGGCTCTCAGTGCCTCTTTGCATTCTATACTACTTCTGCTATCTTAGTTTCTGTCCATGCTCTGTCCACTAGATCTCTGGCATGCTCTGGCAGTGTGAGATATTGGAGTCCTTTGCTGGTGCCTAACCAGTGGGTGTCTGCCATTTGCCACTCTCTGAGCCACTGGTAATGTCTAAGCAGATTCTTCTGCCACATAGGTTCACCAGTTGAGGATATATTCATATCTCCTGCCTGGCTTATATGGATCCACTGTTTTTGATTCAGCAGACTGGGGCTTGCTTTCTCTGAGACTGTATGCATCAACTCTGAAGATGATCTGACCAATGTTCTCCTCTTAGATTGAGGGACTTTAGGGCATGCTGGCCACAAGGCTGGACTCATCCACCTGCTTAGAGTAAAGCTCAGATAGAGCTTCTGGCATGTGCCCTCAGTAGTAGTCAGCATTGGAGGTGGCCATATCTCTGGTTGGGAGTTGGCCTATATAGCTGCCATCCTCTTGTACTAACTCTCCCTCATCAGTTGTGGCCAGTTGGATGATGAGAGGGGAGGATTCAACTCCTTCTCCTCCAGTTTGTATACTTCTGAATCCTAGAGATCAGATAATATAATCTGTGCTGCTAATGTCAGTGGGTTCTGAGGCCAGTGGCCAGATGATGATGCTCTCTCACTTCTTCAGTTCACTCCTTCTTCTTCATTCTCTCAGTAACTATATAATATGATATTCAATAATTCCAGTTACTGTGATGAACAGGCAAGCACCTGTGATGGAGGTGACAATGATATTTCTAAGCATGAGTTTCATATGCTAGTCCTTGGCAAAGTATCATTAGACTGGAACATATGAAGTCTGGAGCTAATTGTTAGGTCTCTACTAAATACTCACAAATATCTAGCACCACTTCTGCCAGGATCCAATTCTGGATTCTGAGTCTGAGTCTGATTTCAGTATAAAAGAATGATAAGGATGATGAGATAAGCTATAAAGATTTCACAGAGAGGGATGAAGAGTTATAGCTGGTAGATATAATCTGCCATTGTGGCAAGAGTATTTACACCAGATAGTCAGAAGGTATAGTAGATGTATTAAACCTTAGCTCAAGACTGAGGTACATCAGTGTATACCACTGCCTTAAATACTGTCTAAAGAACTCTATGCTCTACAGATAACTATTGTCTGCTTTTCATGTTCTCTGCTCATTGTCTGAGATAACAATAACTGTGTCTCTGCTTTTGTTCATCATTGTTACTCTATTATACTATTGCTATTGTGAGTTTTCCATATGCTGCAGTTCCTATTATATTTAAGATGTGAGATAGCAACAATTACTACATTGTTCCTTGTCATCTTATTGTGTGTTGATGAATAAGGCATAGCCATAGTGTTGTCATGTCTTCATCATCTTTTGTAAGGTTGGTCTGAGGTTGGAATTGATAAGCATCTGCTTACTAAGCATTGGCAGGTCATAATTTAGGGACAAAAATTGTGACAAGCTGGGATTACTGCATTTAAACCAGAGAAGGTATGATTCATTACAACATAGGGTTTTTCTTCCTGCTAAACTATGAATATAGGAAAAACCTTTATTTCTGGTAAGAGCATGAATTCTTCTGGCAAAGGTGGTGACCAGTGTCTTGCAGCAACGTCTCAATTGCAAAATGCTTGAATCTCACTGATGTCTCTTAGGTCCAAGGCATAATTCTCTGAGTGAGTCTTCTCATTCACTGAGATCAAGAGGCCAAAACCTATCATGGAGACCATGAATAACTGAGAAAACAAGAGATGTGTTTGGATAAAATTGAAGAATATTGTTTAAACAGTCAGTATTGAAAGGTGTGTTGACTGCTATAAAGTCTTTTAGTATATATAACATGGTCTGCAAACATGAATTATTAAGTAGATGTGATGGTGGTGCAGGTAGAGAGTTGGAAAATTCAGTAGATTGAGCAGCTGGAGATGTAGATACAGAAAATAAAGACATATCTGATCAGCCATAGCCCTGTTTGAAATATAGATCAGCATTCTGACCTTTGCTCTTGCATTTTTGAGATCTTAAGGATTTAAGCTCTGCTGCTGTTATCTTCACTGTTATCTCTTCTAAATTCAATTCTTTATTTAGCTTGGAGAAGATTGACTCATTTGATGATATCTCAAATCTGATGTCTCACATCATATTTATTGCCAGCACCATGCCTATAATAATTGATGCATAGATCTTAGCAAAAATCTAAATTTCAATTTTCACAAGATACTATTGCTCTTTTGGCAGCAGAGAATGATGTAGATGACAGCCACTTCATGTCTGAAAATGAAATAGATGAGGAGTGAAAGATCTGAGTAAGAATAGGAACCTGAAGTTTGCTCTAAACATCCATATGGAAAGGACACTTAGCATAGCATAACCAGACTTTCTCATCAATATGGACCACAATAGTAGCATCATATGGTGCAGCCTGAAAGACTTCAACTATATATTTGTGATAAGTTTTAAGTTCAGCTTCATGATATAGATAAAGTACTTGAACTCTCTTTGCTCAGGCATTGTATACTCTGCACCAGTCAGATTCAATTCTAACCAGCTTCTTAGCTAATAAGATGTCTTTTTTAATAATAGCATATTTTACCATGAGCTCCTTGGCTTTTTCATTATGGTCATACCCTCAGTTCATTAAGGTAAAAAGCTTTAAGAAGTCAATATATTGATTCTAAATAATGAATCACCAAAAGGCTGAGCAATAGGTTCTGAGAGTGATTGGATCTGGAAAACCATGATGAGATTATCAAATGTCCTTTCAGTAGCATAAACTTGTCTGAGGCAGAATGACTCATTCAGATAAGGGTCTGAGATTCTAGTAGAGACAATAGATGTCAGATAAGGTGCTTGAACAAGAACTGTCAAAGAAATAAATACTGTTTTTGGTGAGAGGACATCATTGAGCCTCAGAATGCCAGTGAGCATGGTTGCAATAAAGTTCTGAGATTTGTTAGTAGTTAGTCTTTGGTGAAGGAATTGAAGTTTTGAATATAAAGTTTTGAATATAGAGATGTCCAAGCTGTCTCTTCAACTGCATGAGCTCTAGCACTCTGGCACCATTCTGCAGTGACTTTAGACTTTTCAGTTCACCTCTTTCAACACTCCTTGATCTCATCCTGAGACAGACCTGACAGAGTGACCTCTCTGTCATCTGCTGCTCTAGTGTTTCAATATAAGAATACATATTGCTTGTTGTCCTTGGACCAGTTTGTTTGATCTGTTTCAGCAGAAGTTTGACATAGTCTCTTGCAGCCTCAGATAAGAGACCAAACTGGCAAAGTCTATTCACAAAGTCAAGAATGTTGATGGTATCTTTAACACAATCTTCAACAAGATCTTCACATCATTTTGCCAATACAGTGGCATTCTTAATATTGGTGGATAAACTTGAGGTTATAAATGAAATGTAGATTTGAGTAACAAAAGACATTGACAAAAAGCTCACTAGTGACTTGTACAATAAGAATGCAGTAATACTAGATGAAAGTTGATTAGATGTGATGACACCAGAAACTGTATTGATGAGGTTTTATAAAATAGGAATAGAGGCAGAGTCTTGATGTCTGGAATTGATGATTAGAGATTGAGTGACAGTGACAGAGTGAAGCTTATCTCACTTTGGAGTATAGAATGGAGGTGACGACAAAGCTGAGATACCAATGCTGATGTCTCTCATGAATCAGTCTCAGCTGAAGATTGGCACTGAGATAGAGATAGTGCCAGTGGCCCATCTTCATGGACAGAGCAGAGCTCCATGTTGACAGAAATTGAAAATGTTTTGAAGTCTGCACAAAGGTCTATAAAGATGCTTTCTATCTCTGAAATCTGTCTTTATAATGAAACTTTCCTATTATTGTCTATAGGTTTTAAAAAAGTGATGCACATTTGTAGGATCTAATAGTATATACTGTTAGCTAATTTGTAGACTCACACAGTGTAGCAATAAGCAGAAATGTGATGAGAGTGCTTGACAGTCCATATTCAGTATATAATATTCATTCTGACATAAAGGTGTATTGAGCTCTGCCAGTGGAATATGATGGAGCTTCTGCTTATTAATCCAACACTCTCCTTCAAGCAGGGTAAAGTCTGAATTTAACAGTGAAGTTTTTCATCTTGGCTAAAGGCAGAGGCTTGGTGAGAGCATCAGCAACTATGTCCTCAGTGGGACAATAAATGAGATGAAAAGATTCTTTGCTAATAACCCCACAAATAAAACAAAAATATATATTGATATGTTTTGTTTGAGCATAGTACTGGTGGTCCTTTGAGAGTGCAATGGCCAACTGGTTATCAGAGAACAATGCAGAGAGAAAACTTGGGATAGCAAGCAATTGTGCAGTCATCAACATGCACTGCAATAACAGTGATTTTGATCTTTCTGCTTGTAAAAAACAGTCTGATCAATGTCACACTACTTGAATCCCAACTTTTCAATCAAAATCACAATGAGACATTGATACCAGCAACAGCCACTCTGCTTGAAACTATACAAAGTCTTTACAAGACAGCAAACTTGTCCAGGATAAGAGCCAGAATCAAAATAGTCAGAAGATTGACACATATAGATGATTTCTTCATTGGTGAGCTTTCTATTTAAGTATGCATCTTTGATATCAATCTGATGGAGCTCCAAATTAAGTGCAGTGGCCATAGCAAGTATGGAATAAATAGATGCAAGTCTTGTGACAGGAGCATAAGTGTCAAAGTAGTCAACATCAGAAACTTATGAGAATCCTTGCACTACCAGATGAGCCTTGAACTTGACTATTTCTCTCTCAGCATCCTTTTTAATTCAAAAGATCCACTTTGAGCCTACAACATTTGCTCCAACTGGCTTTTCCACAATTTCCAAGTCTCTGCAGCCTTCAGTATTATGGTCTCTTTCTGGATTGCATCTTCCCACAAAGGCCAGCCAGGTTGATGCTTCACTTCAGCTAAACTGTATGGCTCTAGAGCCTCAGCCTCTGCTGTCACTATAACTATTGCATACCTCTCAAAGAAATCCTTATCTTCAAGCAGCATCAACTAATCTGCTTCTCTCTCCCTCTCAAACACTTGAGGTATATCATTTTCACTGACAATTGGTAACTGAACACAAATGGATACAACAGGATCACTTAGGCATGCTGATGTACTATCTTTGCCAGATATAAGGTCCAACATCCACTGGCTAGACTTTCAAGCATATTATAAATGAGTTTCTTTGACTGTGGATTGAATCATAGGCTGGGCTTAAAGATGAAGAACAATAATGAGATCTCAGTCAGCACAGTAAAGGTGTAAATGACTGAGGTATGGCAATGTGCAAGAGCAGCTTTTATAGATAATCAAGATAGGTACAAAAAAGATAACTGAGAAAGAGAGAAAATATAAGTATGACCTATAGATCCATCTTCAAACTCTCTCTGATCTATAGTCAGGTGACTGGTTGACATTAAGTTAAATGAGGTACTGGTGGTGAGCATCCCATAGTAGTGGCTTCATAAACATGTCTGCCAGGTTAGAGTCTCCTCAGACAAAATCAACCTTGATATTACTCTCCTTGACAAGCTTCCAGATATAATGCTCTTGAATGCTAATATGTTTGATCTTTTGGTGAGCCCTCATGTTTGTAGTAAGGGCAATAGCACCCATATTATCACTATACAGTATACCAGATCAAAGTTGTGGCAACAAAATCTCATCCATCTATAATAGCATCCACATTCACTATTGGGCAGCTTTAGTCAGTGAGACATATTCTGCCTCAACTGTTGACAGTACCACTGTAGCTTGACACTTAGCACTCTAGCAGACAGATGCACTAGCCATGACAAATATATCCTAATGTCAACTTTTTTGTGTCACAACAACCTCTCTAATAAGTATTGATGAAGTCCACAAGCATTAAAGATTTATTACAGGAATATATGAGCCTATAGTTGAGGGTGCTTTTTATGTAGCCAAGGACATATAATAGAGCTTTCCAGTAGGCCATCTCTGTGTTTGTCTAGAAGCAAGACAAGATACTGACTGAATAACAAAGGTCAGAACAAGTTGCCAACTGTCTCCACATGACACATTCAACAAGATTTCAATAGAGAATGTTTATCATCTCATTGCATTCAGCTTGAGTGGTTGAAGACTAGAAGTTATCAAGTGTGATTCTAACTGATGATAAAGTCAACTAAAATGTGATTTGAGTCAGCCTAAAATCTTGTAAAACAGTCTCTCAGTATGCTCATTGTGAGAATGAGATAGTGCCTTCACTCAGGTCTTGCTCAATTTTCATTCTCAAGAAGAGATGATCCTCACCTATATCTTTCAGCTTCCACTTCTCAGCCAGCTCCTCCTTCTAACAGTGTGCTTCCTCTTTGTCTAACAATACTCCCTATATATCATCTATATATGTATCAGTGAAGATGTAGTCCCCATCTGAGTATTCCACTGTCTTCATACAGAGGTCTGCTTAAGATAATCTGTATCCTAGGTCCTCATACATTTTTCCAAGCATTTTGAACTAGCATAATCATTCTGCATTGTACCATAAATCATATAAATAAGCTTGCAGACTTTTTCTTCTTAGCTAGAAACAATATATTGTAAAGGCCATCATATGTAGATATTCTTCTTTATTTTGCTATTGAGATATGCTGAGACAAAATCCACCTGCCATAAGTGTAGATTGAGTTTAGTGATAACTGCTGCAGACATCCATATAGATTCAAGATGAGTAATAGCAGCTCAGATGTCATTGTAGTCCAAGCCAAGTTGCTGGGTATAGTCTTTTTTTTCTATCAGTCTAGCTTTATCATATGTCTAGTGTCCATCTCCATCATATTTTATGCCAAAAACCTATTTGCAGTCCATCACATTTACATTCTTAGAAGAATCAATCAGGTCTC